CGCGCGCCCCCTGCCGGCTGGCGCTCCACGCCACGGGCGCGCGCCAGGCCGCCCCTGTGTACCACCACGGGCGGCGGCGGCGTGTCCCGGCCAGCCGGCCGCGCTGGGTGCCGGTCGCCGCTGCCCGCCAGGCGGCGCGCCGGTCGGGAGGCCTGCCGGCAGTCACCGCTGCCTGCGGAGGGAGGACCGACACACGTCAGCGGCGCTCGCGCGGGGACCGCCACGTTTCAGGGGTTCACAGAGGTGAGTAGAGGATGGGGCCAAATGACGTCGTTGACACGACAGCGACGGTTGGAAATGGACGGTTAGGGGACACTCCACATTAAAACACACGCCTACATATACGTCAATGACGCGTGTAAAACGAACAGTTGGTGTCAATCAGCAAATTTCATGAAATATGACAATTGTAGAACAGAAAGTTACTGACATAAACGTCTACTCCCCAGTGGCTTGTAAGGCAGTGACAGATACAGTGCAGCCCCCAGTTGAGCGTCACACGTTCACGGCCCGACATCCATCCAAGTCCGCTGGGGCAGATGGACTGTACGCCTCTGTGACTCTCACAATGCCTCCGCTTGCAACAAGTCGCTCACTTAGCTCGCGCCAACAGCTATCACCGCACTCCGCCCATGCCCCGCCAAGACAGGGCCATCTATCTCCGCCATCGTCCGCTCAGGGACCTGTGGACGGAACAGATGGAGCAGCTTGCACCCCTCTCGCGCACAACACGCACCTGTTCCGCTACTTGGCCGAGTTGACGTACGCTTCCAGTTCGGCATCCAGCTCTTCGGCCGTTGCCGGCTTCTTTTTCTCGCGCTGCTGGCGGCCGCCGCGCCCGCCGCCGCCGCCACCGCGGGTGCCGCCACGGCCGCGGCCGCGACCCCGCGGCGCCGTGCCCAGCCGGCCACCGACTCCTCCTCCGCCGCCGCCGCCGCCGCCGCCGCCGCCGCCGCCGATCTGGTCCGTGGCCAACTCCAGCTTCATGGGGCGACCTGTGGAGGCGAACAAGGGGTCAGAGGGGACCGGCCGGGTCAAGGGCGAAGGACAGACCTGGGGGAAAGGCAGGGTCGGGCAGATAGTCAGGTCAGGTCGGGGGTGGCGCGGCGACTGTGTGCAGGAGGGCCACAGTCAGGTCGGCACGGTGACGGCGGGACCAGGAGTGAACCGTCTGGTGAGCTAAGACGGTGAAATGCCAGAGAGGGAGGGGTTGAAGTCGGGACATGGGGGGGGGGGGGGACGCGCCAGGCATGAGCCAGGGGCGAACGAGACAGGACGAAGCGAGCGGTGTAACTAACTGAATGGAATTCTCACCGACAAAATCCTTCTAATGCAGTTCAGAGTAGTAACCACATGTTTCTTCTAAATCACGTAAACCCTGTTCGGGTCTTTAGAGCGTCCCAACGCCCTGGTTCCCACACACCCCGCCCCGCTGTCCCGACCGGCGCCCCATGGGCCCGGCCGGCCGCGGCGTCACGCACCGTCGAGTGGCACGCCTCCGTACTGCTTCATGGCACGCACAGCGTCGCTGCGCCGCTCGAAGATGACCTGCGCCGTGCCCATGGAGCGGCCCGACCGGTCGTAGTGTACGGGCCGCCGAGCGCATCGGACCGAACTCGCCGAACAGCTCCTGGCGGTCGACGGGGACACGGAGGTTAGCGTCGGGTCACGGAGGTCAACACCGAGTCACGAAGGTCAGCATTGGGTAAACGGAGGTCAGCATTGGGTCACAGAAGTCAACACCGGCTCACGGAGGTCAACATCGGGTCACGGATGTCAACATCGGATCAGAGGTCAACAAGAGTCGTTAAGGTCAGCACCGGGTCACGAAGGTCAGCATCGGTTCACTAAGGTCAACACCGGGTCACGGAGGTCAGCACATAGTCACGGAGGTCAGCATCGGATCACGGAGGTCAGCACCGGGTCACGAAGGTCAAAACCAGGTCACGGAGGTCCGCACCGGGTCAGGGTGAGCACGGCGCGGAGAGGATCGGCCGCACGAGTCCACAGCACTCGAGAGCACAAACCACAGGGACTTAATAGGCCAGTTCAGCCCGGGTGGCGCGGGTCTGCACAATATCGCGCAAAGGAGTGAGAAACACGTACAGGTCGATGCCTGCCCAGCAACGATGATTGCAATTTTGGGTTTGTTGCAACATGCCATTCAAAATTAGTGTAGCGAGTGATAAGGTCTGCCAGTGTTGGCAAGTCTGAATGGGGTTTCCTTAAAAGCCCCCGTGACAAACTCGCAGGCTATTTAGGTGAATAAACAAGCAGATGGCGCAGTTCCACGAATGCAAACGAGCAGCAAACCAAATTTAAAATGGTTTGTAAGGATTGACCTTACACTGCACCTGTCTGAAGAAAGCATGTGCTTCATACAGAACGTACGCGGCTTATCGGCTGCCTCAAAACATTGGTCCACCTTCCTCGTCTCCTTCAGCAAACATTCTCCAACAGCATCTGGGTCACCTTGTCCGCCTCAAGTGACACGGCCAAGGGGACACATAAGATGTCACATATATACATGTCATATGAAGCGGGCGAGTCGGCAGACGACAGCAAGGGAAACACTGTGCATAAAACACTGCCGCCACTGCGCCGGACCTCCGACGCCGGCAGGCCGGGAGCCCAGTGCGGCGAGCGCCGCCAGCGGCCGGCGTTCGGGGTCTCCTACCTTGACGTCGGCGGCGGTGACGCCGAAGTCGAGGTTGGAGATCATCAGCTTGGTGGTGTCCTGGCCGCTGCGCCGGCGCACGTCGCCGCCGCCACCGCGCGCGCCGCCGCCGCCGCCGCCGCCGCCATCGTACATGTCATGTGACCACCGGTCGTCGACGTTACCCTGGCGACGAGGTAAACAGGTGAGGCGGCCTTCGACAGTCAGCCAATCACCGGTCACCCTCTACAGCCAGATGGATTATAAAACGGGCTGAGGTCGAGAATGACACTGTCTGAGACGTTTTAAGGCATTTATGGCCACAGCTCCAGCGAACAGGGGCCATGGCTGCACGGATTGTGGATAAAGACTGTGTTTCATTTTAGTTAAGCAAGTACTTCACAGGAGTCACCGACACTAGACGACGGTCGGAGAAAGGACTGGTTGAAACACAGTGCTTGTAAGTCAGATGATGATGACTGGGGCTTAAGAGAGCAGCAATGGCCAATATAATTTTACTAAGGCTCCAGATTTTAATGATAGAATAAGAAATTATCACATCCACAGGATATTTAGTCATTTCGGTGCAATGGCTTTTGTAGGCTAACTACACACCACTGCCACTTGTCCATTTCCAGGAGATGTGAGACATGAAAAGAACCCACCAAGGAATCCTACAAAGAACCCACCAAGGAATCCCAAAGGCAGAGCTTTGAATACCCTGCAAAGTACAGGGGAAGTCATAAAATTGTCATGGAGGATGCCAAAAGCACAGCACTGTCATATTCACAACTGGAAATTTCCTTGCACATAATGTACAGAAAACCATGGTAAAAGGTACACTACAACACATGGATATTCCCAAAGAGTAATATTTGTTACCTTTTCATTGTTTGGATCATCATGATTTCCATTTGGCAAAATCTAATCTGACCCAAAAGAATTATTTGCAAGACATGAATATGGTGATACGAATCACAAGCATAGCCACTGGCATAAAAACAGATTGCAGTGAAATCAACTGAAGCACCACCTTATCAAACTTTAGGTTACTGACCATCACCACAATGGTATCTGGGTTTAACAGCTGAAGTAGAACATAAACACTTTTCTGAAATGAGGAATTTATCTGTGCTATCTACTACACAAACCAGGTAGCAGCACATTGTTGTTCAGTGTAGCAAAAGGTACATTTATAATGATCATTGGGGCTTTCTGCCTCACTGACTGCCAGAGCCCTTTCAAGATTGATGCATTTATGGGATGCATTACAGTATACTACAGTACCCCTTTACAAGCAGTATATTGGAACTGTGGTGACCTCAATGCATTTAAAGTCATTATCTGGAGGACATCTTTATTGCACAGCAGCTCTTAAACCTTCACACAACCAAATAATAAACACTACAAAATTACCATAACAAGAAGGGCATAATTTTGAGATGAAGGAGAAAGAATCTAGTGTGGAGGACACTCCACCATTGGAAGATTCCAGCTCTGGAACCAGATCTTTGAAGGTTTGGTGGGGCTTCTCAAGGCCTACTTCATGACTTAGGGAGAAAGACCATTTCATGACAAGGACACTGCTGTTATGAGGAAAGCATGCCAAATCTCAATAGCTTCAGGCTGATGTGCAATGCACCATTTTGCAACTGCGTATTGTGACCCAGAATCTTGCAACATTTCACAAGGTTGTAAAACAATAGTGGACACAATTACAAGAATAATCTCCAGTGTGGTAAGTGGGGTCAGATCCCCAGAAACTCTTGTGAAGTTTATATTAGTTTTATGTTTGACTGCATACAAATATCATCAAAATAATGCTCCAGCTCAGCTACCTTCAACACATGCTCAGGTGGGGTGGGGGGTCAAACCAGCCCCTGAAGGCTTTCCAGAATGGTTTCCAAACAGGGTGGCTTAGCCACACCACATTTTGCAAAACTATAGATGATTTTCAGTTTCTAGGTCATTTCTAGGGAATGTTAAATCTGATGCAACAAAAGGTCACCAACCAAAAATGAATCCAGGTCAACTTTATGGTTTGCCCACCATTATCTTTGTGCCTTTTCAAATAAGAACTAAAGGTGGTGGTATATACTTTTAGTCACCATGATCTTCAAAAGGTCAAACATGGTCACTAGCCTTGAAAAGGCACTTGACCATTTGCTTAGAACAGTTATCTAGGTTCTGAGGCACTTTGAAGACCAGCCTGGAGTTTGGCCTTCTTTGACCTTATTTGACCCTAAGGTAATGGCCTAGGAACCTCCAACTTTTACCTCAGTGAGTTCATATACAAGTCAACACACCCTGTCAATTTGTTGTCTCTAGCTCTCTTAGTTCCTGACATCTCAGGAGGGCTATATTGGCCCTCCCCTCCCCCAAATGAAGGGCATCCCACTGGCCACCAGGGCATATGTTAACATGACTGCATCCATGGACATAAAGATAATGTTTCAAAGAACTAATTGTAAACTAATCAATATACCTTATCATGACTGCTAATCATGTATCCTCACAGTTGCTAGCCTTGTAAAATCACCTGGTATTTCCCAATGATCACATGGTGGTGACAATGGTCTAATCTGACAGACCAGAGGCCTGCTGGATAGCTTGCAGACAGTTGGCAAAAAATCCATCCATTGCACAGAGACCCACATGAATTTGGTGTGCTACACCCAGAGTGTGTACAATTTGTCCTATCCAATAGATGACTGAGTGACACCAGTGCTTTGATTCTAGTGCGCACACCTGCTGAACTTGGGCAAGGCCAAGCTATGATGATTTTACACATATTCTTAGATTGAAAGCTATAAGGGCATTTTAGTAAGAAATTACCATTCACACATTGGCTATGCATTGAATGAGGTAGCACCCTCAGATGCACACATGTGCAAACATCACCCAAGGCCAAACTGGGTGTAGGTGTACTTTCCTACCTAACATTAGAAAAAATCATTGCACACCATTTGTCATGTTTCAAGGCCGCACATATTGTAAATAATCTCAAAATGGTAGAATCATGCTCCTACCTTCGAATTTCAATAACTTCGATGGCGGGTTCCCGAGCGCCGTGCACACCGCACCGCCTGGACTCCCTAGCGCCGTTTCTGCGTTGCTGCGTAAATACAATATTTCTGCTTACCAAGAACTCTACAAAATGTACGGGACCAAGGTAACCATTCGTCGTGTTTAAGGCGGAATATGGTAAATAATTTCAAAACAGATAGAATCATGCTCCTACCCTCGAATGTTAATAAATACGATAGCGAGCTCCCGAGCGCCGCACGCACCGCACCGCACCGCCTCGACCCCCAAGCGCCGTTTCTGCGTTGTTGCGAAAGCACAATATTCCTGCTTATCAAGAACCATAAAACATGTACGGGACCAAGGTAACAATAATAAAGCAACCAAAATCGTTTCTTATCGAGTTTAGGTACATTTATGAAATGCACAGGCCAGAATTGTCCAGAACATATACTAAACTAGCCTAGCCTAGCTAGCCTAGCCTGCCTAGCCTAGCCTAGCCTAGCCTAGAAGCCTAGCCTAGCCTAGCCTAGCCTAGCCTAGCCTAGCCAGCCTAACCAACCTAACCTAACCTAACCTAACCACCCAATCCCCTGCAACCCATGGTCCCGTTGGCGTCGAGGATCAAATTTCATGATGTTACTTGGCCCGTACATTTTTATGGTTCTTGATGCTGCTTGATGCGCAGTAATGTTGTGACCAGCGCAGTAATAGCACCGGTTCGGGGTGCTGTGTGTGTGCGGCGCTCGGGAGCTCGCCATCGTAATTACAAAAAACTGAAGGTAAGATCATGAATCTACCTGTTTTGTGATTATTTACAATATGTCCTGCCTTAAACATGACAAATGGTTTACCTTGGTCCCGTACATTTTATAGAGTTCTTGGTAAGCAGAAATATTGTATTTCGCAACGCAACGCAGAAACGGCGCTAGGGAGTCCAGGGTGCGGTGCGTGCGGCACTGGGAGCCCGCCATCGAAGTTATTGAAATTCGAAGGTAGGAGCATGATTCTACCTGTTTGAGATTATTTACGATATGTCCTGCCTTACACATGAAATGGTGTACAATGATTTTCTGTAACATTAGGTAGAAAAGTACACCTGAACCCAAACTGAGCAAACTTTCCAAACATTTTTATTGAAAATATCCCAGGTATTCTTGCTTGGATTTGCCCAATAGACAATGATTGTTTGAAATACTGACTCTCAGTGCCGTGAATTGGCACCAGCCACAGCTCCCAGCACCGACCTCAGAGCATGATACAATTGTTGTATACAGATGCTGGAATGGTTGCTACAATGTTACTGCTAATTAAACCTGCTGTGGAGTACAGCTACTTGCTACCTGAACTTGAGACTACCTGGCTAATAAAGGCGTCATTGGCTGAGGTGGCTCTGCGAGGAGAGTTCCCAGCTTTCATCTGTAGACCAGGCTGAAAACTGTAGACCCTCATCTGCTTTTGTCGGACTCACGGTCAATTCCTGATGTTCAAATGCAAATATATGAGCAAAGGAGTGCTACGAAGATCACTTACGCGCTTGTAGGCTGCAGCAGGCCTGCTTGAAACTGCATTGCGGCTGCCGCGCTCTTGACCACCTCCTCTCTGCCTTTGCTGGCCTCGCCCCGCACCTCTTGAAGCCCCGCGGCCTCTTCCTCCTCCTCCTCTCTTGCTAATGCGATCTTTTTTAATTATTTCATCTAAACTGAGGTCCATGATGACAATGATTTGAGGCCGCCTGCACTTATAAAAACGCTAATCACGATAAGGACACCGCGGCACGACCGGATGCTCAATGGCGGCGTCCCAAAGAATTTCGCGTGCTATTTGGCGCATTGAACGGTGCAGTATTTGGCGCACATTGACGTCAAACGATTTGGCGTTCCATTTCATTGGCGTCAAACAAAAGAAATATTGCACGGCCAACCGATTTCTATACTTTCATTTCTAGGTATTCTCCGATGCTATACGTTTCTTCATAAAAGTGAGGTGAGCTTAGACTGAATACTATTCTACTGACGTAATTATGAACGAATTACACCGGTCCAAATTATGCGTCCGATTACGCCGCCGGTACCATGGTAATGAAAGCAATTCCCTGTTCGAGGCTTGCTGAAACGAGCAGAAACAAGCTTTCTTTGGGTGCATTCGGCCGGCAAATAACCGTAAAATTATCCGGAATGTCGAAGAATTTTCTGGAATAGCATTCGGCACTGCTGACACGGAAACGTAAACCAGATAATGTTCCGTAGCGAGGGAGAATACAGGAGAGTTTTCAGAGTATGGTCAAAACGGAGAATCTTTTTTCGTTACGCAAAGCTACGGCGGCTGGCTGTGGATGGCGCATGGAGACCAGCCTGGGGGAAAATTTTCGGACCGGCCAGATGTAAATGGTGAATCTCCGTGGATGATTATCGGAGAGATGATTATTCGCTTAATATTTTTTACTCAGTCGAACGCGCCCTTTATCGAACTCAAGACTATTTCTTATTCTCGGTTATCAAGCCGCTGCATTGATCTATATGTTTTCACCACCAATCAGTGAAAAGGCCAAAGTGTTAAGAGCATTAGAATACACACGATATCTATGCCGATCAGTGCAAAGTAGGAAAGACTACCATCATGCCCTGCCCGCGCGCGAAACACGCGAACATCCGCGCCCGGTCCGCTGCGTGAGCGCGGCACGTGGGCGACATTGCGTTGGTAAGCGTGGCAAAGGTGGTGGATTGACAAGTTGCATGCGGGGTGCTTTAAGGCGTCATAGGTGCCGACTTGTATTCTTTTGTGAGGGCCCTGGCCCCCTCAACATTGAGTTGCCCCCCCCTCAGTTTCGGGTTGGCCCCCAGTGATTTGGCTGGCATGCTACAAAAAAACGGGTAAAAGATGATGACTAAAATACTGTCTTCTTTTATCTTTCTGCGTGGTGGTGTTATGAACCACTCTTATAACAAAAAGTCGTGGATGGTCTCACCACAAGATACAAATTGCAACAGCTGAGCGGATAAACGATGCAACAAACTCCACATACCTAGCGCGCAAGACACGCAACGGTTGGAGGTTCAAGTGAAAAGCTCTTGAATATGGTTATGCCTTACGTTCTTCGTGGCCAGCCCCGTCCCCGTCCCGCACATCCAAAATACGTGCTGCCTGCCATGATCACCATAGAAGGGCGCCGCCGGCGCCCTAAAGTGGCCTCTAGGGACGCATCGTTATAGGGCATTAGGGCGCCTTCACGTCCCGATCAGATGAGACGCGTGCGTCCAGTGTCTGCTGCTTGGATCCAACCCTGCTTAACTACTATACCGCAGAAATTTTAAAAAATGCAAATTATGCGAAGATAATTCGGCGGGAAAAAATGGGTGGGGTGGGAGGGGTGGGGGGGCTAGGTAATCGGACCTTTGGTTGAACCCAGTCCTCCCAATAATTTCCAAAAGTTGACGCCCCTGCCAGGTGTCTCTCACTATTTTGCGGCGCGGGAGGACGGGGTTCAGTGAATGGGTGAGTGGTATCGCGATGCCTTGGGGGAGGACGTTTTTCGGAGGACGTTTCTCGCAACACTGGGTGGTGTCGACATTTGCTCAATCCGTCCCTACCGATGGTTCATGGCCAGGGTGGAACGCCTCGGTCAGTGAAGAAGCAGCAATTGTTGGTTTGATGCCACTAGGGATGGATCTCCAGGTTTGCTGTTCAACTATTTTGTCAGGCTGGATGGTGGGGAGGGTTCCAAGCTTTATGTCAACCAGATTGTGTGGAGGATATGATTGGCAGGAGCATAGTTTGGCAGAAAAACATGAGAGCTCAGTTGAGAAGAATGGCTAAACTTGCCCCAATCCATACTAAAGTATGGTTTCCAGATATACCCTGGCATGTATAATATAAAGTGGTGGTCTGCCCCCATTCATCAATCTAAGAAAAATCAATTGACCACATTAAATGTCCATGTGGTATCAGTGTGCTAAACTACACAGGTCAGGCAGCAAAGGGGAAGTTCATAAAATATTTGTTCTTGGCACTCCCTTTTCTGATACATTTGTTCATCTGTGCACACATTTAGAAAGCAATGCACACATTGAGGTGTGCCCAGGCAGACCCTAAATTGTAACCCTTCCTGCTAGGTTTGGTTACTATGTATGATACAGGAAGTATCCAAAGTGAAAAAGGATGTGTTATCAGTGATTGGCTGTTTGTGTGCAACCCAGTGTTAAAACCTTGCTGAATTTTGAATAAAAATTTTGGCTATGTTAATAAGACCTAATCCTGCATTACTTTGAGTGTGTCACAGTTGTGGGTTATGGGCTCTTACATAGTATAAATATACCAAAAGGCCTAAGCAGTTCACATGTCCTGTAAGTTAAAGCACCTGAAGTATCAACACTGCAGTGGCTGACTGAATATAACATCAGTTAGAGATCAGCCATGTCAAAACCATATTTGATCATGTGTTCACCAACACAGATAACATTGATTTGCCTAAATGCTATTGGCATGTATGCACAAAAGTTGCATTATTTCTGAGCATATCAGGAAGCCACAGCATTTTTTAGAACAGTGGTTCTGTGTGACGTTGACTGAAGACGGCTGGCAAGGAACCCATAACATCACCCATCATATATTTTCAGGGCATTGCCAGATCTAAGCCCAGCATGGAGGATGAACCGCTGCCCCCTGAGGGGGATGATGACGAGCTGGACACAGTGAACCCGGCGCCACCACTGGAGGCGGGTGACGCCGGCTCGGTGCTGCACAGTGACGCAATCGGTGACACCATGTATTCTGAGCGTGGTGTGCTGCGGACGCTGATGGCGCTGAATGCTGCTGTGCCGCGGTATATCGGCCTGGGGCAGGTGGCGGAGGGCGACGCGCCGGCGGCGGGTGGTGACCCCCCGGCCGCGGGAGGCGGTAGCGCCGACCCTGGTGAGGTGGGGCTGCTGCAGCACCAGAACAGTGCATGTGATGAGTCGGAGCCGCCGCTGATGGAGTTGGACACTGAGCTGGAGCAGCAGCTGTGCCAGCTGTGGGACATGTCGGCCGAGCGCGATGTGGCCGTCTTCCTGGGCAACTGCGGCCTGGTGGAGGTGGCGCTGCCGCTGCTGGGGCGCTCGCCGTGCCCGCGCCTGCTCGAAATCCTGGCTGGCACGTTCGCCAACTGCGCCGCGCACGGCCCGACCGCGCTGCCGGGCGGCCCCGAACTGCTGGTGGAGCTGACCGCCACCCTGCTGGCCAACAGCCGCGGCGACGCGCCCGTGCTGCGCGAGACGCTGCGCCTGCTGCAGACGGCCGTCTGCAGCCAGCCGGAGCCGGCGCCGCTGCTGGCGGCGCTGGTCGGCTGGCTGCCGCTGCTGGCTGACGTGCTGCGCGGCTCGCTGTCGGCGCCGCTGCTGCGCCAGACGCTTGGGCTGCTGGCGGTGGCGGCGACGCTGCCCGGCCGCCGCCGCTGGTGGCTGGAGCAGCTGGCCACCGCGCCGCCGCCGCCGCTGCCGGCGGCCCTGCTGGAGGGCCTGGCGCAGCTGTACGCCGTGCGCGGAGAGCTGCCTGAGGAGGAGCTGCTCCAGACGTGCCGCGATGCGCTGCGCCTGGTGGCCGAGCTGCGCGCCGAGCTGCCGGACACAGAGTCAGGTCAGTCGCGGTCAGGCCAGTGTCAGGTCAGTCGCGGTCAGGCTAGAGCCAGGTCAGTTGCGGTCAGGCCAGTGTCAGGTCAGTCGCGGTCAGGCCAGTGTCGGGTCAGTCGCGGTCAGGCTAGAGTCAGGTCAGTCGCGGTCAGGCTAGAGTCAGGTCAGTCGCGGTCAGTCTGGAGCCAGGTCAGTCGCCGGACGAAACCGTCCCGGTCTGGGCGGTCGGATGCGGTAGAAATACCATTAAATGTTGCTTGGGAAAGTCAGTTCAATTCGGCTTTCAGTTAAGTTTCTATGTGTTTCGATTTGTCGTGATGCACACATTTCGCTTGATATGATGGACGGTTTAAAAAGGACAGAAAGCATTTGGCTTGTTCTTAATGATCAGTTCAAAGTTCTTTTGCTGAGTAAATGGCCTTCAATATACCAGGGGTTACTGGTTAGACAATATTGTAGTGCTAAGCAATGCGAATGTTAAGCCTCAAGAGAATGAGCGCAGCTCGAAATGTTAAATGCCGCGAACACAATCCGTTTTTAGCTCTATAACATTGTTTAGTCTGTACTGCCCGGTATGTTGAAGATCGTTAACCGAATAACTCTGCGTTCTTGATGGGATTCATGTATTTCATAGCGTTGAGTTTATTTTGATACAGATCCACAGATTTCAGATACAGATCACGGGTCATTTTATTTTGTTTGTTTCATGTCTTGCGTTTTGTCATTTGTTTCGTTTTCACGTAAATTTATTCAAAAGTTATATGATACTATGATTATTATAAGCAACTCCCAAATTCCCTTACCAGCCATGAAACTGTTGGTGTGTCCCTGCCGCAATATCTTCGAGGCTGTTGCACCAGGTAGTGCAGTTGTACCAGAAATGCTTATCGTGATCGCTGTGGTTCGATGAAGCTCTCTTGCGTGGCTGGTCGCGTCGTCCAGCATTAAAGGTGAGCCACTCTGTGTCTCGCGCTTCGTGCCGGAATATCTGGTTTGGGTGTGGCATCCTTCACCTGGAGCGCGTGGGCATGAACTTGATCCAAGCACAGACACCGGCATTTGTAATAAAGCGCGTTATCGCAGATGTTCGGAAACGCGATAGAATTGCAATGGATTATGGTTATGTAACTTGAGCGTTTAGATTGCATTTGGTCGCACCAATGCCCACTGCGCCGTGTAAGTATTAATAATGTCTTCGGCGCGCGGATATTTCCAAACCCGATGTTGTGACGCACTAAGGAAGGACTCGGGGATTATGGATTGGGACAGCTGTGACATCCGGAAAAGATCAGCCTCCTCATTATTCTACCACACTCCGTACCGAAAGGAAGTAAGGTAGGGACTTTGTGGCGTCGCGAGCACGCGTTGGGTGGATGCGGGATTTTTCCCTGTTTCAGCTCCATATGCCTCGCTCCACGGTCTTCCAAATGGTTAGAATACGAAACTTAGTGTCTCT